AAACACAACTAACTGCTTCAACTCAAATAATATAGGATAAGTGAATAAAGAAGAATACTATAATTGCTGACTGTCGGGTTATTTGTCACTCGGTGGTATTTCGAAATTGCACCGAAACGATACGTGGTTAACGAACATGGCAAAAAATCTCATATGCATCGTTTTTCGAAACTGTTCTAACATAGGCAGTCTGAATAATGAACGCAGAACCTGTGTGTATCATGTATTTTTAAATGAAAATACATGAATTATCTACTGCGTGTGGTCATGCGCGCCAGGTAGCATCTGATAATATCAACACATCAGAAGGTAATGCATCCACTCCTTTATAAATTGGTATCCAAGCTAAACTCGGCTCGAGACATCTCCATACGTAGGATTTTGCTCTACCTAAATGTTTGAGACAAGTGTCTCTTTCTGAAAAACATATTAATTAAGATTAGGTCGCATTAGGTCGTCGCTGGTGCATTACGAAAAGCCACAAGAAGGTCTGTATTCTTAGCGACATTTGAACGTTCACACAAAACTTAAAAACACACATTTCGTAAGCCTATATGGAAACCATCAGAAGCGAACCTATCTGCTTACATCTCTTTCTGTACAACCGCCTCACATATAATCGTATCCATAACAGATACGCTCATCGGTCTTCGTCCGTGTGAGCATTGTAGATAAAAATAGATAGATTTACTCAGGTTCCTCCTAATTTCCCCTTACTCGACTGTTCAGTCATCGTCACCATCTTCATTTTCTTTAATTATTACTTTTTATATTCAACGAAAAATTGCAGAACACCAACGCTGACAACACAACAGCGTAGACATTCTTATCTTTACTGTCGGCTTTCCCTTCCCATGATCATCCTATTCGTCGACGTTCACTGCTTGTTACATGGTTCGACGTGAGAATACGAGTTTAAATGATAAAGTCGCTACAATCATGACAGTATGACCGTTAGAACACCAATTAGGCTGCCGATAGCGATGCTCGTATCCACAGAGCAAATGGCATATGCAGCCGCGGTCAGTCGTAATGTTACCGCAGGTACGTTAGCGCGGTAGGCTTGAGGTCGCCGGCTGCAGGACACACGTCGACCGCTTTTACAGGCTCCTGAACGGCGGGGAATGTATGGAGGATTTTCTCGCAGCGTTCTGAGCCAGTGGAGCGGACGCACGTGCAAGCCGAAATAAATGACGCAACCGTTATCTGCGCCAGCTTAATGGTAGCGACAATAAGGCCTGGGCCTGTTGTATGAAAGCATCCGTTGTCACCGTCGCCGCCGCCACCCCCACTGTATTTGAGAGAGGAAAACTAAAAAAGACAGAAACGAAACATAAAGGGCACGAAAAGACGGTTCGTCCACGAACAAATTTCTCCTCAAAAGACGTGGCCCGTCACTAGGGGTTGTACTCTTGTCGACCCGTTTTCGTTGGATAGTTGTTGTGTAGTATACGCGTAGCTCAAATAAGCAGTGCTAGGACCCGCTGGGTTCACCGGTAGTGGCAGGTGGAAAAAAGGACTAAAGCATCGGGTAGAGCTGGCCTTTCTTCTCCTGTTATCATTTGCGAACAGGAAGGAGAAGAAGCAACCGGTTGTGGCGAAAAAATGCGTGTCTGGCGGTAGTATTCAGCTCTAGTTGTATTGGTGGCACTGCTCCCTGGCCATAAATTCGTTTGGTAGAACGGCCCCGCCAAACGCGTATGGAAAGGCTGATTATTAGGCTGAATATTTTTGAATGTCTCTTTATTTCGATGACGCAGTAATAAAAATAAGAAACGGCACTCGACGCTTAAACTGGAGAAGCGGCAACAACGGCCGTAGCAAGGACAGGTGTCACCATAGTACAAAGGTAACAGCTATCCTTCCCCTCTGAGGACGCACGTAGGTGGTCCGCGTGGTTCTGGAGCTAGATAAATAGAAAAAAACATACGAGTATTTAAAACGAATACGGATTTTTATCAACAGGGCAGTTTCCCATAGGTTAGCTGTGATGGGACGGCTTCCCAACGTAACTGTCTGCCTGCTTCAACTTCGCAGTTAAAGTTGCGCATAGTGGAAAAGATACTCGGACTTGTTTTGAAATATATATTTGCTCTAGAATGGTGTTTTGCATGTTACACGAGTGGAAACGATTTCAACTGCGTTACGTGCGAAATGTTTCTATTAGATGGAACGTCGTAAAACACATACGTGGTACTAGGTGCACACTCGTATCTGCCTCTGTAAAAAAACACATGTCAAAGCGCGAGTTACGTCATAAGAAAGCAAACCTCCTTTGTTGTTTGTAATCAAGGACGGGTTAATCAATACATCTTTCACCAGCTTATTGCTAGTATTAGCCCAGACTGCAGCAACAAGATTTGGCTCAACCGAAATGGCAAAACAACTCTCTTGCACAAATCTACAACCATTACATAGTAACCTACTATAATGCATTGAAGATTTGTGCCTACATGGTTAGATAAAAAGTAAAATGATAAACTGAGCCAGAAGTCATAGGGACCAAATAGATAAAATAACTAAAAGAAAGGGGTACCAGTCAACAAGTCAAAAAACTTTATTTGAGGTATCTTCTTTTAACGACGTATTAATGAATTAATACTATTAAGAGATCCTGGTAGGATATTTTAAATAAAGGGCGCTCGGAGCTACGCCTATACAATTTGCATTTATGATCATCAACATCGTCTTTATTCAAAACCTCAGAAGATATACAGGATGCTCACAGCTAATATATAAAGCGTATAGGCTTCTTTTGCTTATTAATAAGACTTTATACTAATGAATCTGAAGGGTTTTCCTCAAGAATTCTCAGATGAAGTCGACTTAGACATATAGAGTACATTAAGCATAGAGAATCATTCCGTAGAAGTAATAATCGCTCAATAGAATTATTATGCCCTGAAGTCAAACCCGTGCTGCAGTAAAACATGGGGGGAAGAAACAAACACCTACAGGTGTGCCTCACGCCGGATAATAAACTGATAATTGAAGCCTATCAAGGTAGTTTAGACCTGTCTTGTTAGAGGATACGGACAATCAACCTGATAGTAATAATAAACACGAAACGTAGAAGGTGGGTTAAGAAGTCCTTCATGAAACCTGTCCCGTTCAAGAAATGATGGTATAAAGTCTCAGTTATTTGTTTGCCAACGATGTTAGGCTGAGATCTCTTTTTTTCGAGATCTCGAGCAAGGGGATACCTGTTGGCGAAAATACCTCTATCACCCACAAATGCTTAAGTAACCACACTAAAAGGACATCTCCTTATTGGAATAAGAGGTTGTTATCGTACACATATTAGGAAAAGAACTGCTTTTTGAACAACGTCTTATATAAGGAACTGCGGTCATATAAGGCCTGCGAAATGAATTTTCTAAA